ACATATGGTGTGGCTGAATGATCTAATGTCAGCTCTTTATATCATAAGGTCTGTCATTGAGTATAGGGGTGTGGTTTCGATCTGAATGGTAGAATCACCTGTCTAACCTTGTGGGTTTTCCTCAAGTTCTCCAGTTTCCTCCTAATGCTTAACACCCCTTTTTATAAGTGAATTAAAGATACATTCCCGGGTACGAATTGGGTGATTTGATAATATATTTGGACTAAAAACATATTCAAACTAATTGATTTATCATAATTTTGCTTCAAATCCTTCTCAAAATATTGCAATTATGTCAGGGAATACCCTGGCTATAAAAAATCGATCAAAAGAGGGCATGCTTGTGTCATGTGACTTACCTCTCTCAGTACCTAGCAACGGGTGTCTTTAATCGCTGACTATTTATTACAAATATAGTAGCCTAATTAAATTCTCGGATTATCCACTGCCCGTGTCTCTTCCATGATTTTTATCTCAGAAAGTGTTGTACATCTAACTCTTCATAAATTTTTAATATGTACATCAAGCGCCCAATCTCCGAGTGCAACCTTTGACATCACGCGTGCAGACACTCCCAATCGTCGAGCTGTCGATTAGGGAAACCCTTACATATTTGTCCTTTATGCTCTCCATGAATGTTTTTCAGGGAATCCAGTATTTTTCCAGTAAGATTGGATATTTCTACTTTCCATATATACCAAAATTGCCATACTGTTATTGAAAATAACCACCTAATAAATACTTTTCTTGGAACGTATCTTTAATTAAATAAAATAGTACAATATGCTAGTCCAAAAATGACCTGGTTTGTGTTGTGTGGACTTTAAACCCCATTTTTCTCTCTTTATTATCACATCCAACAGAAAATTGTTTTGTTTTTTTATAAAATGTCTGTACTTACCAAAAGCCACCTGGTTGCCTTCCCTTAAGTAAATGGCTGAAATTAAATGGTGGGTTTCCAGGCCATGAAATACTCTTTGGTCCAAAGTCATAGCTTAAATCTATAATTTTTCTACCGAAAACAGAAAACCTACAACACAATGATAACCCAATTAAAAATATAAAACTTTTCATGTTGAGGAAAACTGCTTGGTTCGAGCGACAGTCTGTTAATGTAAACTTGAACTGTTTGGTTCAAGACAACAATTTTAAGATTTCTGGAAGCAAGCACTATCTATCAGGAATCTCAGTCTTGCAATGTCTGCAAGGAATCAGCAGACTTTTACTAGCACTTGCTGAGCGTTTCACCTACAATGAGAGAACATTTTATAAACCAAAAAATAAATAAACCGAAGGCCAACTTTAAATATATTCCTGTTTCTTGATGCCAACATTTATATACCTCATGTTAATGAACTGATGGTTATTTAGACCAGAAATTCTTGCCTAATTTTGATTTATAACTTCCAATGGTATACAGGGGGTTGGTGGCCGAATGGTTAAACACGTGCATGTGAAATCACAAGATATGTCGTTGAGTCAAATGGCGTGGTTTTGATTCAATGCTTGTACGTGGCCAGGAGTAGGGTTGCCTGTCTAACCTCATGGGTTTTCTCCAGTTTCTTTGGTTTCCTCCAACAGCTAAAGATCCCTACAGGCAAACAAATTATTGAAATAAAATTAAACCATATGTTATTCCCAAAATGACCTAGTTTGTGTCAAGTGGACTAGACTTATTTTTCTTGCCAGCATTAAAGTAGGAGCATAACTGTATCAGTATAAGCTCTAAATAGACACACTTTCCAGGAACCATCCTGACAATTGGCCTTGAAGGCTCTAATCACATGCCATGATCAGGTCCTGTGACTTTCTAGTTTAAAGGCAAAGGTCCACCAACCACTTAAAGACTGCTATCCCCACACACCTAAAACGGGTGCTTAAAAGTTAATGTTTAGAGAACCACTTCACTATAACACATATACAAAAGAACAATTAGAGGTATTTAGTAACTGTATAGAGCACTATATATACAGAAGAATAATTACCAATTTATTTATACACTGTGGTTGAAATTTTGGAGATGTTTTGAAGAATGTTTTCTCAACGTTTTCAAGGACTGGATAAGGAAGCTTATATATAGATGATAATTTAAATGTATAAATTAGTTTCATGACTAATCAAAATAAACTGTTTAATTTCATATCCTCATATGATAATCGCTGTGTTTAACACATTTGAGGATTTTCGTGTCAAATTTGATTCTATAAATAGAATACAACATCTTGTTGGGCATGCTCCAGTAGTACATTGTGTTATTGGATTACATCATGTCACAATTTAAACTAAATTCCCAGCAGGTCATTCATCTACAGTATTAAACTTGTGTTACAATCTGATTCAAATACAGATCTATATTTTGTTTCGTTTTTTTATAATTTCGATGGCCTGCACTACATGAAGATCTGACCGGTTGTACTGGAAGGTCGTGTCAGGGGTCGTACAAGTGACTTTTGACCCTATGACATCAAACGCCAAGTACTCGCGGTAACAGACTGAATCATTGTCTAATCTCTCACTTCAACCAGAACGCCGGTAGTATAACAACTCCTCCAGATACTAGTGTAATAATAATAAAGACTAGAGTTATAAAAATACAAAATGAAATAGGATCTGTGTTTTAATCAGATTGGTGTTACTATATCTATTTGAAGGAGGGTTGGGATGGCCTAGTAGTGGTTTAGAGAGCGTATGAGGCTTAGTGATAGGGTTGCCTTCTCAACTTTGTGGGTTTACTCTGAGTACTGGAGTTTCCTATCAAAGGAAAGATCTCTGCGCTAGGATAATACAGATAAGACAATATGTCTGCGATATCACACTCTGTGAAAGTGGACATTAAACACTAAATAGAAGAAGTACTTGAAGTAGAATATTACACAGTATAGATGTCCAGGGTTCTTGTTGTAGTTCTAATTTTCACTTACAATTGACAGGAGGGTGTTCGATCAGCGGCCAAATGGTTTAACTGTGCGCCTTGAGCAAGCCTGAAAATAAGGCACCTGTCACAGACAATATCAGGCACAAAACCTCTTTTTTCACACGCAGTCAGTTAACGAAATGAAATGAAATGGGGTTTAACGTCCTACTTTTCTGCTCCTAAACTGGGCTAATGAAGACGGGCATACGCCATACAGTGTGCTATGAGGGAAATTTTGCCCGGGCAGCGGCACTACAGCCTACTCTTATATCGAATTCCAACTGCCAAGGGACCTTTTACGTGCACGCCAATGTGTACACGGGACCAAGGTTTTTCGTCCCATCTGAATGACTAGACAGCTGTCCTTGTCAGGCCCTCCATCCTGCGTCACTGACAAGGGGGACACCACGCCGGCAAATCTGAATGAACTTTCTCGGCCAATGCAGGGATCGAACACCCGACCAGTCAGTTAACAGAATGTCACTTTAATAACTGTAGTATAAAACACATGATATTGTATTATTGGTGAGCTTTATTTCCTGTTTAAACTTTAGTAGGAAGTAATTTATTTATTCAATTTAACTGTGTGCGTGGGGTGTGTGTCTCACGATCAATTTCTGTGATAAACAGTTTAAAACTTCAATACCATCAAAATTGTTAGTGACATGAATTTCCCCAATAGATGAAGTGATATCAGATATTTTAAATATGTAAGCATACTCTGCCAAGTACATGACAGCTACTAGAACATGTAGTTAATTGGAGTTAATATTAGTGGAAGTAAGCTGTGTGAAATATCTAATTTAAAGGTGTGGGAATACTCTGCCATGTACATGACAGCTACTAAAAAATGCAGTTAATTGGAAATAATATTAGTGGTAATAAGGTGTGGGAAATATTTAATTAAAAGGTGTGGGAATACTCTGCCACATACATGACAGCTACTAGAAAATGCAGTTAATTGGAATTAATATTAGTGGTAATAAGGTGTGGGAAATATCTAATTAAAAGGTCTGGGAATACTAGACAAAAATCACTCTGTCATTCATGTGGTATGTAAATTCGATATAAGAGTAGGTCGTAGTGATGCTGTCTTAGCAAAAGTTCCTCATAGCACACACTGTATGGCATTTGCCTGTTATCATTAGCACAGTCGGTGCAAAACGGAACTTCATTTCATTTCTGCCATGTGGTAAAAAGGTAAACTTTTTAAAACGGGACAAAATTTTGATTGTAGATAATCAGATTTTCCGGTTTTAATTTTTAAAATATTTATATATAAAGCAATAATGTGATGTTTGTTTTAAATATTTATATATTATTATAAAGCAGTGTGATGTTTGGTTTTTTTTATTTTATTAACCAGTTTATAATACTGTACCTGGTTTCATATATTTTTCTTTCAAAATTGAACATATTCCCGGTCGGAAAATTGCCAACTCGCGTATGAAATATTCTGGGAGACACGGTGGCTAAGTGGGTAAGACGCTTACTCGCTATAGCCTGAAGGTCACATGTTTGATCCCTGCATTGACCGAGAAAATTCATCGGGATTTTCCGACATGGTCAATATTTGAAACTCTGTATTTATAAGCATATGTCATCGGAAAATGATGTTGCATTTTATTTGTATAATTGATTGATTTTGTGATAAACGAAAGATTACACTGAATTATATTATATGCAGATTCATTTCCATGAAGAAAATAGCGGTAGCGCAATTTACCCAAACCCATTCAAATGTATCAAAATCCCTGATATGAGTTGAAATAATGGTGGATTTGGGTAGATATGGGGGGGGGAGGTCTGGGTAAATTGTGTGATACCTTTTTCTGGGTTTGATTTAAATACTGTGTATATTCGTTCAGAGGGAACAAAGATGCTAGCTGTCGCATACACCGTGACAGTGAATGAAAATGATAATTGAAAGTGAAATCAGTTTTTTTTATCCCATGCCCCAAAATAGTCAAAAGAAGAATATTGTAATTGGTTCCGTCTTTCTGTCGCTGATCTCGGGTGCAGGATGTTGATGACTGAGTTCATTTATATTGGAATAATTTGAAATTACGTATATTTTATTTTACAGAATCCTGTTGATGAAGAAGATAATACAATGGATAAAATCCATGGAAACGTTGTACGGAAAAGCCCTCATGTCAAACATGGTAAGGTTTCGACTGTTTGAATATTTTCCATAATTTACAGTTCATATATATATCATATCATATATCATACACATATACAACAACACACCTGCCTGGATATATGATTCACCTGTCACAGATTTTGTCTGACACAAATTATACCTAAATGTACAGGGTTCGAATCTTATTTCCAGTACCAGAAGCAATTTTTTGCTTGTTATTTCTAAAATTAGAACCCCCAAAAAAGTGTAACAAGCAAAAATTTTCAGTAGTGGTAATCACGCAAACACTCTGCCTGGTGCCAAATGGAAGTATTGGAACAGAATTTGATCATTTGGACCTTTGTCCATTTAACCACCACTTTATTGGTTTTTGCATTTGCAAAATGTGGTAATCATCGTTTACACCAAAATACTACGTCAGTAGTATTTTAGTTACGCTTGTGTAAACCGTGTGAAATGGCCTGTTCGCCTTCTTAGGGTCAATACAATTAGGGATAACATGATTGGTCAATAATATCACATGGTTTCAGTTTTACATGTATTATTTGTCGGGAAGGTGACGTATTGTTATTTGATTGGTTAAGTTACATGTGTCCGATTATATCTGGTCTCTTCGTTAAGACTCAGAGTTTGTTAAAGGAAAGTGAGTCTGTATAGGCTACATAGGCTAAAATTTTATCGGAAACATATCTACCTTTTCAGAGAATTAAGCTATAGAAAAACTAAAGTTTTAAAATTTACTTTTTAAACTAAATTGCTTTATAGTTCAAATCTAACGTGCAATTTTCATGTTTTACCACGCTTTTTGTGTCTTTGCGTACGCTAATTTCGAAGCTTGATGTGCATATTATAATATAGATGTTGTCCGATTTTTTGTACTTGACGTCTGTGACAGGTTCCTGATGTCCAGACGTGTATGGGGGGGGGCCAAATGGTTAGCGTGCTGTATCATACGGCCTGTCATTGAGTCAACTGGCTTGGTTTAGAATCCCCGGTTGTAGGTGACAAGTTTTCTCCGGGTCCTCCGGTTTCCTCCCACTGCTAAAGACCCCTACGCGCAAGCGAATCAATGAAATAACATTAAACCATATGTTAGTCCCAAAATGACCTAGTTTTTGTCGAGTGGACGTTAAACCCCATTTCTCTCTCTCTCTCTCTATGACAGGTGCCTTACACTTTGATTGAAACACAGATCTTATTTCGTTTCATTTTTTATAGTTCAGAATTTCATTTTAGATGTTTTTACTACACTAGGATCTGGAAAAGTTGTTATATAACAGGCGTTCGGGTTGAAGTGAGGGATTAGCCAATGAAACGATCCTTTACAGCGAGTTCTTGTCGTGCAATGCACGGAACTGTGGGTAAATCACTAGAAACGTCAACGTTGATTGATTAATGGATGTCTGACGTCATAGGGTCAAAAACTGCTCGTACGACCTCTGACGTCAGGATCTTCATTTAGTGTAGGCCATTGAAAATATAACAAAACGATCTGTATTTTAGTCAGATTGGGTGCCTTACGTCCAGGCTTGTATTTAATATAACATTGAAACTGTCAGCAGCACAGAGTATATAAAGAGTTAGTTGTCCAGAAATTTCTGTTTTCTCCTGTTCGGAAAATGTAACATCTATATAATATTGAAGGGCTTCAGGTTGAAACTGCCATCATGCTTTGATATATATCTCCATAACAAATTAAATAATTCACCACAGCTGTAATGGCCGAATGGTTTAATGTATGGGCTTTAGATCACAAGGTCTCATTGAGTCAAGTGGCGTGGTTTTGATTCCTTGCTTGCCATGACAAGGAGTAGGGTCGCCTGTCCAGCCTCGTGGTGGGTTATCTCTGGGTCCCCAGTTTCCCCCCACTGCTAAAGATCCCTACGGGCAAGCAAACTGTTGAAATAAAATTGAACCATGTTTGTGTTGAGTGGACATTTAACCCCATTTCTCTCTCTCTCTCTATTCTCTCAGTATTTCAATATCCACTCAACCTTTACCAGGACATTTTAGGTGACAGGTCACACATATATTTTATTGCAATAATTAGAGTGTGCCCAAGGGTTATTAAAAGTGGGAGGAACTAGAATAAACCCCAAGGGTTAAGCAGATAACCTTGCTCCTTGAGTCCTTATCACATAGCCTACAGTCCTGGCATTAAATACATGGCTTGCATACATAACAAACCTTTACAAATTTCTCAAATATTATTAAAGATCCATTGTGTAAGATTTAGATAAGAGCTGACAGTTCTTGCTATAATAATAGTTCTAAAATAGATAATGCAAATTTTGTAAATTTCATTCCAATTACTTTATTCTGAGTAAAGTTATGACTGTTTGAAGATATAGATTGTTTATTATCATAGCAACGTGTTTATTATCATAGCAACGGTACTTGACAATTAAATCTCAGTTATCTAGGGTGGTTGGATGGCTGAATGGTTAGCATGTGCGTGCTGTATCATAAGGCCTGTCATTGAGTCAACTGGCGTGGTTTCGAATCCACGGTTGTACGTGACATGGAATAGGGTCACCTGTCCAACCTCGTGGGTTTTCTCTGGGTCCTGCGGTTTCCTTCCACTGCTAAAGACCCCTACGCACAAGCGAATTATAGAATTAAAAATTGAACAATGTGTTAGTCCCAAAATTTCACTCTCTCAGTTATCAGTTTCCTCCCACCGCTGTACAATTTCTATAAAAGAACACATCTTCACCCAAACTGAAACTGTACATCATCGTTCATCTATAGCTGGGAGACACGGTGGCTCAGTGAATAAGACATTGGCTTGCTTACCTGGGGATTTAGTGTTTGATCCTTGCTTTGGCCGAGAAAGTTCATCAGGATTTTACTGCGTGGTACCTCTTGTCAGTGGTGCAGGACAGAAGATCTGGCAAGGGACAATGTATAGTCGTTGGGATGTGACGAAAAGCCGAAATCCTGTGTACACATTGGCGTGCACATTAAGGTTCCCTTGACAGTTTGAATTCGATATAAGAGTAGGCCGTAGTGCCAATGTGTAGCCGGCAAAATAAAGTGCTCGAAATTCCATGACGTTTTGGTCTGGAGCCATTCCGGATTGTTTGACAGTTTTCGGTCATCGATCATTAAACATACATTATGCAAGAGCTAAATCTGCCTATAGCAGGTCTTTCTTTAGGCCTGAAATGTTGTCTAAATTATTAATTAGACATTAATTAACTTCTCCAGACCATAACCAACTCTCGATGGCATCGGATTTCTCCGATATTAAATAGATTAGAACAGTTCAGTCATATTTTGATTTAAGCTAAAAATGGAGGAACGAGACTTAGCTTCGAACAACCAGTATGGTGGTTGAATTATTGCACACGTCTTGTCAAACCTTCAAAGGTTAAAATCTTCGCACACAATAGTGTAAGTTGAATGCAATTTTCAAATTATTCATTTTACATTATCTATTATCGAACTATTGTAGCAAGAATGGCTAGCTCTTCCTCTTTATCTAAATCTTCCATAATGTATCTTTAATTGTATCATCAATATTTCGGGAATCAAAATTTCTTTAAATTGACTAATGGATAAAACATTTAAAATCAGTGTAATTTAAATAAAAAGTGTGTATCGCCATGACACTCTTATTTGAAAATGCCATTTTAGTACTACGTTCATCTGAACAAATCTGAATAGGCAACTGGAACATAAGAACAAGTTCACCTTGATGTTGACAAATACGTAAGACAATATGAACATAACAAATGATATATGATTCAACTGAAAGGAGATATATATGCAACATAGATGATTAATATCTACACTCAAGTTAAACCAACTGTATCTATTCATTTCAAATCTTACTCGAACTGAATAAACTATATATGATTTATTGTCATTAAAACACCAATTAGAGACTATAATTGGATCTTTGTAGAAATAATTATATTAATAAATTTAAGGTGTCTACTGTCATATGGTAGATTCAAAGACATAATATAAACTAAGATATCATTACATTCTTTAATTACATTTCTCAATAGGTGGAGGGGTATAATTTATTGTGTAACATTGTGATTATAATCAAAACAATAAATTCCGTCCTATATCACAAACAAGCCATAGCAAGAAATCCCTCCTATAGCCAATATTTTAATGTACCTAAAATTTGTTTTTTCCTATTTCAGATAATAAACAACATGAACCAATACCTGTAGGATTAACAAGAGATGATCTTTTAGCTCATATAAAAAACTCAAGCAATAATCATACAATACCTGGTTCATTCCCTCCAAAACTACACAGTCCAACTAGTGTCAAGGTACGTCTGGATCACTCTCTCCTCCCCTCTACACACCTCCCCTCTACAACTACACAGTCCAACTAGTGTCAGGGTACGCCTGGATCACTCTCTCCTCCCCTCCCCTCCACTACTATACACAGTCCAACTAGTGTCAGGGTACGTCTGGATCACTCTCTCCTCCCCTCCCCTCCACTACTATACACAGTCCAACTAGTGTCAGGGTACGTCTGGATCACTCTCTCCTCACCTCCACTACTACACAGTCCAACTAGTGTCAAGGTACATTTAGATCACCATCTGCCCCCCACCCCTCCACTCCCCTCCAAAGTCCAACTAGTGTCAAGGTATTAGTCTGTGTGGACCCCCACTATACTGACCGCCACATGGACGTACTAGTATCAGTCTGTATAGATCCGCCCATCCCTGCAGACTGTCACATACCCACATCTACCTGCAGACAGCTACACATACCCCCCACCTACCTGCCGACCACCCCAACTGAACGTATCCCCACAGACTGCCACATACCCCCACCCCACCTACCTGCTGACCACCACAACTGAACGTATCCCCACCTACTTGCTGACTACCAGAACTGAAAGTATCCCCACAGACTGCCACATACACCCCCCCCCCCCTTCCACACCTAACTGCTGACTCTACCACAACTGAAGGTATCCCCACAGAGCAAGAAATATGTGGGACAGAATTCTATGAAAAAAAATTGTCTGCTGGCATCCCTCCTTCAAAGTCTTTGTCTGCTGGCATTCCTTCTTCAGCATCTTTGTCTGCTGGCATCCCTTCTTCAGAGTCTTTATTGTCTGTTGGCATCCCTTCTTCAACATCCTTATGCCCCAGGGTTTTAATCAAGTCGTATCTTTAACCTATGTATTTTTATTTACTGATAGAATATAAATAATAATGAAGAGAATATAAAGGATGAGGCCAGTATGAAAGATGGCGGTGTAGGTGTTGAGAATAAAGAGCAAGATGAACGAGCTCATATCGTAAAACAGGAAGATGAATGTGATAATATATCTACAGTACCTCAAATAATAGCATCCAGACTTTCTAAACTTAGACAGGTCAGTCATAATTTGTTTATAACCCTTGTCTGTCTATCCAGGGGGGGTTTGGATGGCTGAATGGTTAGCGTGCGCGCGCTGTATCATAAAGTCTGTCATTGAGTCGACTGGCGTGGTTTCGAATCCCTGGTTGTATGTGACAAGGAGTAGGGTCGCCTGTCCAACCTCGTGGGTTTTCTCCGGGTCCTCCAGTTTCCTCCCACTGCTAAAGACCCCTACGCGCAAGCGAATTATTGAAATAAGATTAAACCATATGTTAGTCCCGAAATGACCTAGTTTGTGTCGAGTGGACGTTAAACCCCATTTCTCTCTCTCTCTCTGTCTATCCAGACTTAGACAGGTCAGTCATTTGTTTTAATACCTCATCTGTCTATCCAGACATAAACAGGTCCTGACTTAACAGGTCAATCATAATTTGTCTATCCAGACATAGACAGGTCCAGACTTAGACAGGTCAGTTATAATTTGTTTATAACCCTCATCTGTCTACCTTCCTTTATGATTAAGGTGCACTTTCGCTCTTGCGCCTCCTAATGCACATCGACTTATCTTTTGGGGAGTCATTAAATATGCCCGCAAATTAGCTAAATTGCTCTCCTAAATATTGAGATCATAAACTACCATACTTTAGTTTTTGTTTATTTTTAAAACTGGATATGTTTGAGTATAGTGACCTCCTCCAAGCAATGAGCATTTCCATTGGTAAAATTAGGGTTGCCATAATTATTCACCAAACATATTGAATGCTAATGTAAGGCTCGTTTTAATTGGATAGAAGTCTAAAATCAGCCAATAGAATACGATGTTACTTGACAGCCTAATATGTAGCCGGATGTTGATGAAGAATATTCGCGGGAATGATAGAATGACACGTCTAATAATAACATTATGTTGTTTAAAATGTTTTCATGTACCGCTTCTCTCATTGAGATTGTGTTGATTATCTCTATCAATATGTCTGGAGATGGTCAAAACTGTCAAGAATGCTACATTTTTAAATTGAAATTACTGGAGGGCAAATAGCCACGGAGGGGGACAAAAATGTGTTTGGTCTTTAGTGCAAATTGTGCACTAAGCACGCTGACAAAGCGATCAAACTGACGAAAATTCGTGGAACATACAAAAGACAAAATAATGAGAACATGAGACAAAACTCAAGCATAAATACAATTTGGCTCTCCTTAATTCAAGAAAATGTAGAGTTACTCTTGCAATATAATTAAGAAGATTTTTTTTTTTTTTAACGGGAACTTTTTTCTCAATTTTTAAATGAAGGACTGCTGTCTATCCAAGTTTTTGTTTTGTATTCCCCCATTTCATATATTATTTACATTCAATCCTTGTAAACACACTATACTGGACATCCTCGACATTCCTAGTGGTATCGTTCCGTTCTACTCTACTAACCCCTGGGTCCATTCACGAGGGAGACAACATAGTCATATTCAAATTACCCACCCTTGGAAATTGTGTTATTACACCACTGAGGATATTGGGGATGTCTACTGGTCAGTCAGAAAACAGGTTACTGTATTCAAACTTTGTAATCACTCTACACAGTTGGGACTTGCTGCATATGTTTGTGTAATCATTAAGTTGATTAAGAGAAATGGGATTTTTTGGTGGGGTTTTAGTCATTAAGGAATAGATTAATTCAAGATTATGTGTATACATCAACACAAATTTTTTGTAAGGTCAGTGTTTGCTGATGAATGTACTGAACACTGATGATAAATTTACTGAACATTAATGTTAAATGTGCAGAACATCTGAAGATTTTCAATGAGCAAGATTATATGAAGGGAGATAACTCCAAATAGATTAAAGCTAAAATTATTAATGTTAGACCATTTTAGACACTAACTTGGTTAAGATAATGAGTATTGGTTTGTATTATTTATCTTTTTTTGATTATTAGGAATGTTTGTTGTGTGGCTAAGAATCTTTGTTTTACTAGTCGCAGCGTTAACTCTTTCTTTACTGGTTATTATGGTCACAGACTTACTCTCGCGTTTCTATTATACACTGGTCTCCATGGTCACAGGCTTACTGTGGTGTAGTATTATACACTGGTCACCATTGTTACATTCTTACAGTGGTGTTTCTATTATTACACTGGTCACCATGGTCATAGGCTTACTGTGGTGTTTCTATCATATACTGGTCACCATGGTCATAGGCTTACAGTGGTGTTTCTATTATATACTGGTCACCATGGTCGCAGGCTTACAGTGGTGTTTCTATTATATACTGGTCACCATGGTCACAGGCTTACAGTGGTGTTTCTATTATATACTGGTCACCATGGTCACAGGCTTACAGTGGTGTTTCTATTATATACTGGTCACCATGGTCACAGGCTTACAGTGGTGTTTCTATTATATACTGGTCACCATGGTCACAGGCTTACAGTGGTGTTTCTATTATACACTGATAACCATGGTCACAGGCTTACAGTGGTGTTTCTATTATACACTGGTCACCATGGTCACAGGCTTACAGTGGCATTTCTATATATAGGTGGTTCTAATAATAAAAAAAGACCTAATCCAAACCCTATTCCCATTGATCTATTCTTACTTGTCTTGTGTGATTGTTTGTGTGTGGTGCAGTCCCCCTGTACTATTAAAGTCTGTAAGAGTTATTTTAGAGATTACAATACTGTGAAAGTTGAATATCGGTCCAGCAATGGTTTAATAACATGCAGTATTTACATTAATATAATGAACAAAATATTTATCAACTGCAGACAATATAAAGAGGATATAGTCAAAACAAGCCAGGGCCACCTATAGCTTTCACTGAAATTGTTTAATTTGCCTCTTTTTTTTTTATCCTTTTGAATCTGACTATTCCAAGTTGGATTTAATCCTATTGAATCCAAGTCAGGGTATTATCTACCTGTGATATTGTTGTTTAATTTTCTTAATTAAATCATAAATAATCAAATTACGTTTTAGTCTGGATTAGGCTGTATTGTCTGAAAAGCGGAAATGACTGAGACTTTAATTTGATGTAGATTTTGAACAGAAATGAAATGAAATGGTGTTTAATGGCACACAGTGTGCTATGAGGGATATTTTGCCCAGACAGCAGCACTATGGCTTACTCTTATATTGAATTCCATCTACCAATGTGTCCGAACGACTATACTTTGTCCCCCGTCCTACATCGCTGACAAAAGGGAACCACATCAGTAAATCCTGACAAACTTTCTCCTCAAATACAGGATCGAATACGGGACCTCTAGGTTAGCAAGTCAACGTCCCTACTCATTGAACCACCGCAGCTTCCAAGGTACGAAGTAAACACTGTATGTTCTATTCAATTGATCGAATACATATATAAAGTTTTAAAATAAACAGTGTAAGTGAAGAAAGGAAATGTTAAAATAGATAAATGAGAATAAGAGTTTATGTTTTTCTGAATTAGCAGGAAAACCAGGCTCTTTTATTTATCTTATCTTAGATTCAAGACGAAGACTAGGGTTGGGGGTGATAAAATTCAAGACAGAGACTAGGGTTGGGGGTGATGAAATTCAAGACCAAGACCAGGGTTGGGGGTGATAAAATTGAAAATGAAGACCAGGTTGGAGGTGATAAGATTGAAGGCCAAGACCAGGGTTGGGGTGATTAAATTGAAGACCCAAGACCATGGTTGGGGGGTGATAAAATTGAAGACCAGGGTTTAGGGTGTTGAAATTGAAGACCACGACCAGGGTTGGGGGTGATAAGATTGAAGACCAAGATCAGGGTTGAGGGTTATAAGATTGAAGACCAAGATCAGAGTTGGGGGTGATAAGATTGAAGACCAAGACCAGGGTTGGGGGTGATAAAATTTATTTTATTCAATTTACACAAATTCTCAAATTTTGTATTTATCCTACAGCTAAAAATAGAAAAGATTTAAAGGTCGTTAATTGAGGGGTTTTAAGTCTGTTTCAAACCAAGATATTGTGAAAATTGTTGATGCAGATACATTAGATGTTAAATCCCGCATTTCATTGTATTTCTGTTTCTGACAAATGGATTTTTGTTGTAGTTTTAAGTGATTTGACGCCATGCTTTGTATAGATTCACTAGAGGACTACAAGCGGTTTCCTTCTTTTAAAATATCTTGGTAATTAGAATTCTTCTCGATATCTCTTGATGTTTAGTTTGACATGAAACACCTTGAAAAATGTTTTGTTGAATGAAATAAACATCACGCCGTGCACTGATAAAGATGTCCAGAGCTTGCCAAATTCAATTTTTATATACACATGTTCAAGATATGCTGCTTAGATTAAGGTTTATGTGTAACTGTAAAGAGATCTGTTCTGTGAATTTTAACATAATTTGAAAATATATTTCACTCTTTTTTATCTGGTCCAAGGTGTTTGAAACTGTTCCAGATGTAAATAAACAATTTACTAAGAAAAACTGTAATCTGATTTAAACAAGGTATGTTGCTTAAAGTAGCTGGGGGAGTGGATAGTTGAATGGTCAGCGTGTGCATGCTGTATAATAAGGTCTCATTGAGTGAACTGGCGTGGTTTCGATTCTCTGGTTGTACATGACAAGGAGTTTAGTCACCTGTCCAACCTCATGGGTTTTCTCTGGGTCCTCTGGTTTACTCCCACTGCTAAAGACCCCTACGCACAATCGAATTAAACCATATACTAGTCCCGATATGACCTAATGACCTAGTTTGTGTCATGTGGAGTTAAACCACATCTCGCTCTCTCTCTCTCTAAATATTAGCGATTTAGCTCCTTTAAGTTAAAGGCTCAATACCACTCTTCTTGTAACTGAATAATATGTCCCAATCTTTATTCTGGTCAACAAATTGTACTATTTTAGAATATTTCAATTAATTGATGATACAAATTTCATCTTAACACACCTTATTTAAAAAATTTGAAAAATTCAACATAATGGTTTGAAATGTCTAACGTAAACCTTTTCAAATGAAACTTCGATTTAAATATATTTTCGAACTTTCGAACCCTCTGGACATGT